TGGTGTTAGTCTCTTCTATTTTGTTCAATAAACTTTAAAATAAATAATAATGGAAAATTTTGCCACACTCTAGCTTTTTTACAGATTTTAGGGTAGGTCGTAAGAAGCTTAAGTTTAAAAGTCGGGGAATGTAGGATGGTCGCAACTGGCCGCCAGATTGAAAAAGGTGGTGTTAGTCTCTTCTATTTTGTTCAATAAACTTTAAAATAAATAATAATGGAAAATTTTGCCACACTCTAGCTTTTTTACAGATTTTAGGGTAGGTCGTAAGAAGCTTAAGTTTAAAAGTCGGGGAATGTAGGATGGTCGCAACTGGCCGCCAGATTGAAAAAGGCGTTTATAACATTAATGACACATAACTTTAAAAGTAATAATTAATAAAAGCAAGAGTTGTAGGGAATTTAATAAATAACAGCAATAAATGAAAAGCGGTAAGAGTTACAAATGTTTTAGACGAAAAAGTTTAGTAATAAACAAAAAAGCACTCTACATTTTTCCGCAAAGTCAATAATTTCGGAGATATAGTTAAAAACGCATTTTTCAGTGTGGCGGCCAGTTCTAGCCACCATATATTCCCCGATTATTGAATTTAAGCTTCTTTCGACCTACCCTACCATCTTTAAAACAGCTAGAGTGTCACAACATTTTGTTATTTGGTTTTACTCTATTGCTTGTGCTAGTAAGTATAGCAGAATTTTAGGAATTCATTATAAATTCAGTACAGAAAGTATCCATACTTCAAAAATCCAACAAAAAGTAACTCGGCTGTGATAAAGCTTTGTCAAAATATTTTGCACTAACATAGCGTAGGTTTCTCCTCAAAAAAGAAAAACCTTTCACCAAATAACACCTGTAAGTAGCGTTGCACACTGCGCATGCCGAATACATACGGCTAACATTTTATAAGAAACACATAGTTATATCTTTTTATACATACATAAAGTATTAAACTAAGTAATAACAAGGTTACATTAGTAAAATATCACGAATTTATTGTATATTATCGTGAGTATCAGTAGGCTTTTTCTTTCGTGGTGGTGGTTTACGCGCTGCAGTTGTCGATTCTGTTGTAGATTCTGTAGTTGACTTAGTTGTCGGCGCTGTAGTAGATTCAGTTGTAGATTCTGTAGTTGATTTTGTTGTCGATTCTGTAGTTGATTCAGTCGTCGATTTTGTAGTTGACTCTGTTATCGGCTCTGTAGTTGATTCAGTTGTCGATTCTGTAGTTGATTCCGTTGTCGATTCTGTAGTTGATTCGGTTGTCGATTCTAGAGTTGGTGCAGTTGTTTCCGTAGTTGACTCAGATGTCGATTCTGTAGTTGATTCAGTTGTTAATTCCGTAGTTGACTCAGTTGTCGATTCTGTAGTTAGTGCAGTTGTCGATTCTGTAGTTAGTGCAGTTGTCGATTCTGTTGTTGCTAGTACCGTGGTTGCTGCTGTGATTGATGGTTTAGGCTCAGGCATCGTGATAGGCTTTTGTGTTGTAGTCTGTGGCTTGGTTACTGGCACTGAGTAGTGCCAAGTCAACTTAATTTGCGACGTAGTTTTTGATTTTTCCATGATTGCCTTTAAAATACTCTGTGGTATCCAGTGGCCCGGCACGTTTGCTTCGACTGGATTTGCGATAAATACTAAAGGATCGTCGGCTAAGACAGCTCCGTTATTACTAAATGTAACCGCCGTAAACATCCTACAGATAACTGTAAATGAATAAATAAAACAGTATGTGATTATTTTAATGTAGCTGCGAAAATTTTCGAAATAATGGACAAATTAAAAATATCGAGTGATATGTACATCCTAATTCTTGAAATTTAGATCTAGATTCCGAGTATAGAGATATTATTTGCTTCTATAAATAGCTGAACTGAATTATTGATTTGGTGAAATAGGTGAGTAGGTGCCAAATAGATACAATAACTATTGTAGACCTTTAAAAAAACGTTTTATATCTCATTATTACTAAGTTATTATCAGTACATATAAAAGTTTTTTTCAACATTATGCATAGTAATATAAGCCTTAGTTTGTAAAAATACTTAGATTAATATTTAAAAGTTACTAGGTATTATTTAGTATAGGTAGGTATGTATTATAATAAATCTCTCTCTCTCTCTCTCTCTCTCTAATAATTATGTAACGTCGTGTATGGACTCTGGGACACAGGTGGACATGATCTTTACAGATTTTAGTAAGTGTTTTGATAGGATTGATCATTTCATCCTGAAACAGAAGCTTTACTGCGCCGGAATCCATGGAAACTTGTTCAGATGGTTTTCATCGTATATCGAGAATCGTTCGCAAGCTGTAGCTATTAATGGTTTTATCTCGAACTGGATAACGGTGCCCTCAGGTGTACCTCAAGGGTCCCTCGTTGGTCCCCTCCTGTTTGCTATATTTCTGAATGACACTGCATCCTGCTTTCAAAATTCTAAATTTCTACTATACGCTGGTGATACGAAAATCTTTAGGCAAATTGCTACACCTGGTGATTGCCATCTCATACAAAAGGATCTGGATAAATTTTGCGATTATTGTACTCGTAACAAATTAGATTTAAATGTTTCTAAGTGTTATTCAATGAATATTACTCGTAAAACTCATATTATTAAATTTGATTACACTTTACGGAACCAGATTCTTGCATACACCAATAAAGTGAGAGACCTAGGTGTAATTATTGACTCCAAATTAATATTTGATAACCATATAGAATATATTGTAGGACGGGCATCGAAGGCACTTGGATTCGTTCTAAGATCTTGTGTCAATTTTAGTAGTATCAAGCCCATTAAAGTACTCTACTGTTCATTCGTACGTAGCATCTTTAAATACGCATCAGAAATATGGAATCCTTCATATAACATTTATATTAACAGAATTGAGGGCATTCAGCGGAAGTTTCTTCGTTATTTGCAATTTAGATGTAAACAATACCTTCCCAACTATGAAGCTAGATGTAAAAAATATCATTTTTTACCCTTGCAAATGCGGACAGAAATCGCTGACATTGTTTTCCTCTGCAAAATTTTAAATGCTAAAATAGACTCACCTCAATTATTAGGTGAAATTTTTATAAATATTCCAACAAAACAATTAAGAAGTTATTGTCCGTTAAGAATTTCGAAGTGTAATACTAGATAGTTAGTACTGTCGATAGACAGTATTCATTTTTCAATGAATATTCTTCAATTACAATCGACATATATAATTTGAACCTATTAGGTAGGTAGTAGTGTCTACTGATAGAAGCAAATTATGATAAACATGATGTTTCTGATTCTCCTACCCTTCAATAGGAGCAAGAAACTCTTTTATTCTATGTTCTGTTGCTCACAATCTTAAGAAAACTGATGAACGTTGTCTTTTTATTCACTTTTTATGAATGATTTTATTTAAGGTATACGCATGGGTACATCCGTAAAAGGTTATTATTAAAATGTGATACAGACCTACTAGCTCTGATGATAAAAACAGAAAACGTGAGGGTCGGTGGACCACTTGGTTGGAACGAAGTTACACACAATAAGCGACGAAACAACTGGCGGTTGTAACGGAAATCCACTTAATCCACTGTAAAGATCCATTGATGGATCTTCTTGCACTCTTACTTCCACTTTAATTCTTAATCCAGGATATTTTGCAAAGTGGATTGAATTGCTTTTAGAAAAAAACGTATGTCTGAAAATGTGGAATACATGTCTGTCTGAATCAGAATTCTGGGATAGTAGGCTGTATCGTCTAGATTAGAAAGCGACCAAGGATTAAAGTGCACATTAGAGTCAAATAGGTCCATCAATGGATCTTTGCAATGAATTTAAGTGGATCGAGGGGAAAAATCTTACACTTATTTCGTCTAGCCCCCATCCGCTAAGTCCGTACTACGTTCCAAAAATGGTCATAAGGCTTAACAACGTAATCCAGGAAATATTTCCACTTTAAAGAGTTTTTTTCTTCTATTAGGGTTTTTAAGAATATCCACCATTCCTAATGGATATGGATTATTTGTATATGTTTAGAGCCATCTTAAAGCAATCCCATTAAAATACTTACACCGAACGGTTTATTTTTAATTAATCTTAATTAAAACAATATTTATTGTAAAAGACAGATTTAAGGTCTGTAATTTTCTATAAAAGCTAACGCAAGTTTCTTGGAGTCTTCTTTTGGATGTTCAGATGCGAAGTGAATTAAGCGAAAAACACTTCTAAAGTTACCTTGACAGTAAAAGCTCTTAATATATTGATATTGCTATAACTTAACCTTGTAAAATCAATGTTCCTCTCTTCATGCTGAAATTGCTTCGCTTTTGCAAAGAAAATCCTTGCAATCCATCGTTAACGTGCGCAATACTAAATAAAATTGTACTATAACAGCAATTTATATGTGGTCTATAAAATTTTATACCTATTTCTTTCTATATGCGACGCTGAAGTGAACATTTATTTTCACGTATTTTTGCACAATTGCATCATTAGCTCTCTCTGTTATTGATGTATTGGGTTTTGTAATGATAACTACGCTTAAGACGATTTGTTTAATATGAAAAGGATAAGGAACCCCTGCTCATTATTATGCGCTATAATTAAAGATTACCATAGGAAATTGTATTGCAATTTTTTTTTAATATTAATTTAAGATTTTACTAAATTCTATCAAACTAGTTAGAAAAAAAAACTCATTACAGAACCAAGAAAAGCAAACCTCGGCGTGACTAAACATTCATGATATATTTTTGAAACTTGAAGTTGAAGTTTGAATACTGAAAATTTTCATAATAGAAAAATCCCAGCACTCAAATAACCATACTACGATTGCTGTTGTTTTAAAAATAGGTAAGTATATAGATAAGAGTATTTGCCACATTTTCTTGTGCACTATGCGCACTTAGTTATCGTTATTACAAAATTGAGAGTTGATGAAGAAAAAAAAGAAACAACATAGAAATATTTCCAAACATTTACTGTGCAAAATCTATGGGGATAACAAAAATAAAGTACTCAGTCTTTGCTCCATTGTGATTCGTCATCATCGAAGGGTTCTTCTACCATAAATATTGAGTCGAGGTCTACATAAAGTTGTCTCTGGGCGGTTAACTTGTCTACTATGTGCGTGAAGCTGGGTCTTCTCGTGGGGTCTTCGGACCAGCAATCGACCATCAGCTCGTAGAGGCGCTGGGAGGCGCGTGCTGGCTTCGGGAGGCGGCCACCTCCACTCAGAAATGTGGGAACTTGGCTGTTGCTGAGCTCAGCATACGGGAAACCACCTAGTAACAATAATTCTTCTGTTAAATGTCGAGTAAGTTCAGTAGGTACCTAATAAAAAAGGGGAAATATTTAAATGATCCTCAAAAAATTATGAACATCTAAAAATACAATTGCTAACCTAAAGGATAGGTCACGGAACACAGAAAGCCAATTCCCATGGAGCTATAGAAACCTTACGCCGATATAATCACAATAAGCATGTTTTATCGCCCGCCTGATGGTAAGCTGCCACCACAGAACACAGAAAGAGGTAAGAAGGGCCTTGTGGGTGGGGCAGGCGCGTCACAGTAATGTGTGAGCAAATGCTCATAACTTGACCAAAACTTAGTTCTGATTGCGTCTTTGCTCTCGGATGTGAACGCTTTTTGAGTCGATTGTTTGATGTCGCATCGTTTCATTGGCTATTATCTATTAGGTAGAAGTGTAGTGGGGGCGAGCCGGAGCAATTACAATTTTTTTATGAACAGCTAAATATGTGCCATAAAATAGGTACACTTATAAGACTACTTCGTTATACGTTGCTTGTCTGTTTGTGAAGACTGCGTGAGAATGCTGCATACATTCTCATACAGACATTTGACAGACAGAAAGAAAAAAGTTGTAATGAATATTAAATGCTCAGGTCTATATTGCATCCAATTGACTTTAGAATCTTGTCTCTTTTTCATACAAGTGTATTAAATCATCAGACTAAATGTTGGTGTAGACTTGTTTGATGTGCCAGAATAATGTGCCGCTTCAGCCATTTTCACTTTACCAGTCTGTACCCAACTTTTTACCAAGTGGAGCCCTGGAAATCATCACCGGCAGAAACATTACATCCACCAAGCAAGGTAGTGTTATTTCTCTGCTGTCTTATGTAAAGGTTCCCTATTTTAGCTAAAGAAGTGCTTCACACATACAAAAAAATATGCTTTGCGTCCCGTTTGGAATCAAGCCGTGCGGCCCGTGAGTGTGTAAGCAAAGAGTTTGTGTTTTGTTCGTACAGTGATAAGATCGTCAGGAACCACAAAAGAGAAACATAGAACAGATGTGACTAGAGCAAAGGTATACACAGCTTTCCCCTCTGTCGAATTGGGCATACTCACTATAGAATATCTGCATAATTTTAGATTTGTTTTTTAAACATGTACTTACGTTAAACTTAAACTGAGTTTGTGTGCATATCTCCCCGCGGAAAAAATAGCAGTATAATAGTAGTCTATACTCTCTTCCGTGTTGCTCTATGGTTTCACATAATAATAGATAAGGTTTGTCTTTAAACCATACGCGCGTCTTACTACGAAATAAGGTTAGAATGATGTTGTAATTCTGTGTAGTGAACCTCGTTCTCTGTATAATCTAGAAACAATGGCAATTTGCCTTGTGCAGTGTGGATTAAGGTGCTAGCGACTGCTGATGCAGATGGGTCCAAAGGTTTAATGTGCCTTTTGATGCACGGAAGAGCTCGAGATTATAACAATCGCAAGTAATCACTTTCGCCATCAAGTCTCTCTTCATTAATATAGTATTATAGTACACAGCAGTATAGCGAAGGCCCAGACGTCACAGTACTGCGCGTGAATGGTCGCCTCAAGAGCGAGCCAGCGCAGCAACACCGTCCTGGAGCCCGATCCGGCAGATATCGAAGTCGCGAAAGTTGATTAACTTCCAAGATTGCAGACCAAACGCGCTAAGAACTCGCGCTATCGATCTCTAAATATGATAACGATTAATTACCTAATGTGGCGATCTCCCACAGCAGTACAGCCAAGGCCCACGCGTCGCTCACGCTGCAGTTCTGCGCGTGGATGATCGCTTCAGGAGCAAGTCAACGCAGCGGCACCGTCATGGAGCCCGAGTCGGGAGAGGCCAAAGTCAAGAAAGTTGATTAACGTCCAAGATTGGAGATCGAACACGCCAACCACTTGCGCTATCGAGCTCTAAATATGATAACGATTAATTACCTAATGTAGCGACCTCCCACCGCAGTACAGCGATGGCACACACGTCGCTCGCGCTGCAGTACTGCGCGTGGATGATCGCTTCAGGAGCGAGTCAACGCAGCAACACCGTCCTGGAGCCCGATCCGGAGCAGAGACCGAAGTCGCGAAAGTTGATTATCTTCCAAGATTGCAGACCAAACGCGCTAAAAACTCGCGCCATCGAGCTTTTAATATGGTAACGATTAATTACCTAATGTAGCGATCTCCCACAGTAGTACAGCGAAGGCCCACACGTCGCTCGCGCTGCAGTACTGCGCGTGGATGATCGCTTCAGGAGCGAGCCAACGCAGCGGCACCGGCCTGGAACGCGTGTGCACGTACACCCCGGAACGGGAGAGGCCGAAGTCGGCCACTTTCAGTACACCCGCGCCGTCCACCAAGATGTTGCGGGCCGCGAGGTCTCTGTAAAATGGTGGAACTTCTTTGTCATAATGTACTTGTAAAGTTCGATAGAGGCTGCGGTGATGCCAGATATTTTATTAATCCTTAGGGCTGTGCAAAGTATCTGCAAGGTATCCAATTTGATTTTTGTATAGTGGTACGCACGCTGTTCATAACAAGTATGCGCGAATCCGATGCTATTTATCTGATACCGATGCGCATCGATTTCACAAATATCTAAAAACGCCCATCTCTACAAAATTGACATTACAGAAGGTAATCTCACGTATGTAGGTACTTTACTTTGCATATCTACGCTCGGAGGTCGCGCTAGGACTGTTAACATTGGCTTATGCACAAAAAACTATTGCGGTATATAAACTAATAAACTACAATATTTCAGTTTTAATGTTATTGTTTTAATGCTCCATTTTTGCATAAGGATTTTTATGAAACCCATTTTTGCAAAAGCTTAATCAAGTCGCCGCCGTCGGTTTTTAATTTCGTCAAAGATTAATTTCTCAAGGTCTTGGCGCGGTAGCTAGCATGACAATCTTTGTTTGCGAAAAAATAAAAGTGACTTTATTTTTGTACTTTTATTTATAATCTCATAGGTAACTATTAGCGCAGGGAAGATCAAAACATAAATGTTATATTTTAAAAGTTATTAATGTAGCTACCTATTATATTTCTTTTATGTACATACGAAGCTCAAAAGCACAAGTTTTTTCGCCTATGGTACCTACGACCTCATTTTTCTGGAAAACCCTGCGCGTTGCAATGATATGGAAGATGTTCATCAAATTCACGACAAAAATCAATAATTGGCCAAACCGAAGAAAATTCCGGCTTTAAGCTATTCCAACGAAAACATTCAAAAGGATAACACATCTTTATTTGTTTCAGTGAGCATGAAAACATCTTTGCGGTTTCGGACGGGAGGCTGTGGGTGACGGGAGAGAGTGATATTTCCTCCCTAGTCTCCCCCTACTCTCGGCGTGCCAAGCAACAGTCGCTAAGCAACAAGTGTTCCCATTACCCGGTTCGTTACTGTTTAGCTGACAACTTATTTACGGTTGTCACTTTCTATAGACTGTCACCCGCCCCCGTAAGGGTCAGATACGAATACAAAAACGCCTACAGCTTTTTTATAGCAATAAAGTGCCAAAATAAAATTTTGCTGTGGCGCTTCGGACTGAATTATGTAAGTGTAGGGGTAATATTGTAATAGTGTTGTAGTAGTCTGCCTTAGAAACTGAGGCCAGTCACAATTGTACAAAGCGAGAATTTAAAAAGTTTTAGACAGCGGCTGTCTCTACTCAGCGCGCCAACCAACGCCAACTTGAATTTGAATGTCAATCTGTTATTAGGGTTAACTAACTTTTTTTTCTATTAAAGATAGTATTCGTAGCCTTTACCTCTAAAAATATACTAGAAGATGGAAACAAGATGAAAAAAATATACTTAGTATGTGGTTAAAATATCTACTTTATATTTAAAATTAATATATTTTTGCTCTTCCATGCCTTAATAATTATTTTTTATATTTCTAAGAACGCGTTTACTGTCCAAAATCTGCTTTAAGCAAAATATGGTAGTTTCGCCTAGTATATTTTTTTAGAAATATAGTATTTGATCCCCTGATATAGTAGGATCCTATATTATATAGTAGGGTTGGCAATCCTATCTGTTATCGTGCTGCGCCCGGCTTATTGTTTTTTTTTTATTTACGCTTTTATGTGATAATTACTTTTCTGTATATTAAAAGTGGGGAAAAAGTGTAATATACAGGACTTCAAATACCAAAATCAGTTTGTTGGATTTACACTCACAGGTATTTTACTTAAATCTTTTTAAATGCAGTAGCAATTGATTTATCAGAAAATTCTACCCCCAAACTAAGGAAGTAACAACAATATTGTCATAATAATATATAAAACAACAAAATAAAAAAAATGGGTGCGTGTACTTATGTAGGCGCGTGAGAAGTTATCCTTCTTTGGCATTGTTTAAAATTAGTTTTTAATTGCATGCAAATAATTAATTACAATAAATTAATAAAAAGTCTGGAAGAGGACACAGTCAATAAAGTTCAGTTTTAATTTGAAAAAATAAATAAATAATCAAAATATTCAATTAAAATCGCTACTGAATATAATTTATTAGAACATATGTGATTTGCACTTGTATGAAACTCAAACACGTATTCCGAATATACAAACTAGAAACATGTGGATAAATATTATACACTAGCGGCCCGCCCTCGCTTCGCTTCGGTGTAGAGCTGAAGTGTAGACTACAGTTTTTGTTCTCAGGCTTGTATTATACACAATGACATTCATCTATGATTCTTCTTATACCTGCATGCAAAGTCTCAGCCCGATCGGTTTAAAATTGATAAAGTTTCATACAAACTTTCATTCCTTATTTTATCCCCTTGGGATTTTCTTTATATTTTTTTCCGTAAGAACCTTGTACAGAGTATTAGAAAACTACAAAAAAAAAACAGCCAAATCGGTCAAACCGTTTTCATGTTATGTCGTGACAACGGAAAACGGGTTTCATTTTTATATATATAGATATGAAAACAGTCTCTGTTCTAAATTCAAAACTCGTAACTTTTCCCGATGTTTGTTGTACGTGTTTTGCCGCGCTAGGACCGCGAGTGGCCGCGCATGCGTACGGTGCGGCGGGCGACGCGGTAATGGCAGCGCGGCACATGAAGTTGGTCGCTAAAGCCAACCAACCAACTTCATGGTGTTAATTTTTTGTGTTACAGATGCGCGCGCATCTTAAAATTTCACTCTCATAATTTTTTTATAACGCGCCTAAAGAAGTATAACTTCAAAAATGCGCTACATATATGTTATTCAATTCTGATCACACCAGCCAATAAAATATTGTTACGTGTCGGGATGGGGTTCGAAATTATATGCCAGTTCATGCTTGACAGTTCTTTATTCACCACACAGTTCACACAATTAACACACAATGTTAATTACAAAACACTCACTAAACACTGTATTTCACTATACAAGTCTCTAAAAAATCTCACTTGAACACTTTTGTTGCACTTTGATCGCCTTTGGATTCGCTCCGAAATCGCTGTTGAAACTCAACTGTCTCTGCGCGGCGCCAGTCGCGCTTTTATACGCCGATCGATGCATTCTAGAAAGTACCTGTTAAATTGCGAGTTAGCTAGCACCCTCGAGTACGTAGTACCTACTCATACCTACGCAGGTAACTCGCATAAATTGTAAACAAGTGCAGATGTCGTGCACTTTCTCCCTTACGCCCGCACTGCATAAGGCTCATTTTAGAATGAGCCGCATTACTTGACCTCTATCGCGACCCGCGGTGCTCTGGCACATTCGTTCTCTAGCACTTTCGCGGTTCCGTTTCGAGAGCGTTTGTGACAATATAAAAACTGTTTAAGTTATAACATCTAAAGCATAATAATAATAATAATAATAATAATAATTCATTTATTTCAGATAACTGTGATCCATATTTGTTAGTAGACTTATTCTATGTTAGTAGTATATGTAATAGATTAATAATAGATTAGGACAGTACATGATTTTTTTTTCTTTATGTCTTCATCACACTCACACAATGCTTGATAAAGCAATTATCCATTTTGTTGGCAACAGTCATTAGGATGGTGTTTGAGCTTGCTCGTATTCTGCTCAGCAATGAAGCTATTTTTTTGCGCATGCATGCGTGAAAACCGTCAGTGTGCTCCTCGGCAAACATACCAGAGGCACTACAGAATCTTGGCAAACCCAACAGCATCCTAAACGCATTATTATATTGTACGCGGAGAGCGTTAAGTGATCTCTTAGAATAACTGCACCATAGGCTTCCCGTGTAAAACGCCTGACAGTATGTTTTAAACAGAGTAATTTTAACTTCTTTCGAACAACGGAAAAACCTACGGGCCAGCATATTCGCCCTCACAGTCAACGCTCTCCGCTCCCTTTCTATATCTAATTCGTCTTTTAAGTTATAACAAATCACATGACCTAGATATTTAAAACTGTTGACTCTCCTCAGAGACACTCCATTTAACATTATAGGTGGAATATGCTCTAACTTTTTCCCCTTGGGTGTGAAAATCATAATTTCACTTTTTTAACGTTATATTGCAAACCATGGTCTTTAGCAAAATTTTCACATATCTCCAAAAGTTTCCTCAATGCACTGACAGATGGTGCCAGCAGCACCATGTCATCAGCGTAGCTAATATTGTTAATAGAAGTACCATCGATATAGCATCCTAATGGCTGCCTACTGAGACCATCTATCAGCTCATCTACATACAGATTAAACAGGTGAGGAGAGGATACGCCTCCCTGTCTTACACCACACTTCAACCCATATGCATCAGAGAGCGACCCAGACCATTTTACATGGTTTATTTGATTCCGATACCAATATTCAAAAACAGAAACTATTTCCTTAGGTAAACTAGTGTCGCGAAGCTTCCGCCACAGCATATTGTAACATACTGTGTCAAAAGCTCGCGACAAGTCGAGGAAACAGGCATAGACCGGAGTTCTTCTATCCACGTAGTACTTAACTGTATGTTTAAAGCTAAGAATAGCAGTCTGTGTGGACAAGCCTGGTTTAAACCCAAACTGACCATCGTGAAAATGTAAATGAGTGGTTAAGTGTTTATCCAGCACTCGGTCAAATACCTTAGCTATTATTGTAGCCAGAGAGATTGGTCTATAATTACACTTATCGGAAATATCACCCGTTCTGTTTTTTACTACCGGCACGACTATGGTCTTCATAAAGTCCTGAGGAAGGTATGAGTGACTAATGCACAGCGAATAGAACATTGACAAGATTCTAGCTAAGTGAGGGCCCGCATTCTGTAGGTGCTCGATGCTAAGACCATCATGACCCGGGGATTTACCTCTGTTCATGCCACGTATAACATCTGTAACTTCCTTTGCAGAAACCATAATATTACAATCCCCGCCCTGACAGCTCCCATCATCGACCACCTGAGC